TTTTTCATTTCTGTGTAAACTGCAGATATTTAAATAGAACACATACATTGTGGAAATTAATTTTTCATCCACTGTACCATTTTCCTAAGGTACAATTTGTGTTTACATTTGCATAGATTTTAGTCATGTTGCACTTCATAAACACCTGTAGGCTATGCACCTGCATGATGTTACTTACCTGATATTTTAATGTTAAAGCCTTGAATCCCTGAGAATCAAGATGGACTGCCTAGCTCATACACAGCCCATGGTACAGTTATAATTCAGAATTCAGCTAATTTAAATGGTGTGTAAATTTGTACTGTCTACAGCAAGTGTCCACAATTCAGGGATTTGATTTAAAACAGATATTCTGATGAATGTCAATTTAAATTTAAATTCCAAAGGCAGCCTGAAAAAAAAAGTTTAGACATTGTTGTGCATTCCTAAAAAACCACCATGAATACTATTTTGGAATGACAAGTTCTGCTGTTCTAATCTACAATAATGGTTGCTTTTCATTTCATTTTTTTCTGAGAGTTTTTAAAATCCACAAACCTTTTCCCAACTATATCTACCTAATTTAGCACTTACTACAAGCTCCATCTCATCTATCCAGTTTATATTAAAATCCTGTAGATTGGCTTTAGATGGGAGCCAGTATATGTATGTACATATGTGTATGTACAGTTCCTCCTATTTTTGAATGCATTATTCTAGTTTGCCAGGCTGCTACTCCCATCCCTGGCTAGCCAGGCCCACTGGCTATGCTGTCTAGGATTAAGGGAGTTGAATTTCAAGTTAACTTTCCCCTCTACATCAGTGTTTCTCAACCTTGGCAACTTTAAGATGTACAGACTTCAACTCCCAGAATTCCCCAGCCAGCAAGGCTGGGGGAAGTTGAAGTCCGTACATCTTAAAGTTGGCAAGAATGAGAACCCATCCTATACTATACTGAAACAGGTATTTTCTTGTTGCCAAGTTTATATTATCTTTCTCCTGCTTAACCTTTGTGCTGCAACTGAAAGACTTGATTGCCCTTTTCTGCTTATCATGTAGGATTCTATGCCAGAGATGGCAAACCTATGACACATGCGTAAAAGGTGACACGCCACATTTTGGGTGACATGCCAGTGTTCACCAATACCTGACAACAACTATTTTCCCTATCTGAGTTACCAAAAAGACTGAGTTTGTTTTACTCATATTTCATTTCTATAATTGTTTCTTTATATAATACATAGCATCACACGATTGGACTGTATTTTTTTTAAAATAAATATGTAAAGAATTGTTTCTCTTTTGTTTGTGGGGAGGGGGATGACATGCCAACAGAGTCAAGTTAGGCATTTTCCAAATTTTTGACACGCTGAGCCCAAAAGGTTCGCCATCACTGCTCTATGCCTATCCTTATCAAGCCATATTTACCTAACTGGTTAGTTAGTAGTTCTACAAAAGGTTATGTTACTTTATTGATCTCTGATGGACTTCTATATCTTTCAGTGCACTTCTATGCTAACACCTGACTTCACTCTTGAGGTTTTTTTCTCTCCAATCTTGGATCTTTATATCCTTGTCTGTTTGTAAGATGTTTCATAACCATCTCTTACTAAACAGGCAAGTCCACCTATTTCTAATACCTATGGGTAATATGAGTGTCCATCCTTTGGTACAGTAGAAAACCTTCGCTATCTCTGCTTCCTCTCATTTTTTTTTTAATAGAGCTGTCAACTGGTTATATCCCACATCTACAACTGGTATGCTCAAAAACAGCACTTTTTGGCAATACAGACATAACTGTTCTTTATGTCTTTAAAGTAAGATGTAGTTTAGCTCTTTGGTCACATCTTTCTTCCTTTCCCTTCCCATGCCATTTTTAGTCTTTCTAGCTTTAACTGTATAAAAGGTTTTTTTTTAAAAAAAAAAAATTAGAACACCTAATCCTTTCTCCTTGCTGTCTCTTCTGCATGGAACTGCCTTTCAACCCACGCTTGTGAGCATACTATATCACTCCCTTACAGGTAGTCCTTGACTTATGATAGCAATTGGGAACGGAATTTCCATTGCTAAGGGATGTGGTCATAAAGTACAACCACATCACTTAGTGATGGTAATCCCTGCAGTCCTGGTTGCCGTCATTAACACAATCTCACAGTTTTTAGGCAAGGCAACTTCCTATAATCAAAGTCAGTGGGGAAGCTGACAGGAAGTAGCAAGTCTCAGGCCAGCAAGCAGGTAAGTGGCTGCTGCCAGTTGGGGGAGGAAGCAAGGGGGTGCGCAGGGTTGCAGAGGAATGTTCAAGGGAGAGTTGGGGAGATGCATGGGGTATGCGAGAGGCATGGAGCAGGTCAGGGAGAGTGTGTGAAGGGGGTAAGGGGGCACAAGAGGTGCAGTGCAGGTCGGGGAGGGTGCATGAGGGGCACTGGTCAGAGAGGGTGTGCAAGGATGCAAGGGAGGGTGCTCAAGTGTGCAGCACAGGTCAGGGAGAGTTCACAGGGATATGAGGGGGGGTGAGGGTGCAAGGGAGTATTAGGGAGGAGTGGCACAGGTAAGAGTGACTGTGTGGGGGTATGCAAGTGGCTGGCAGTTGAGCCCAGAGGGGCTGGGGGAGGGTGCACAGGTGAGGCAAACTTACCCCAGCAACTTGCAGCCTTCTCTGCCGGCTTCCCCACTGACTTTCTGGGGAAGCTGGCAGGGAAGGTTGCAAATGAAAATCATGTGATCATGGGACAATGGAACCCAGTTGTAAGTGCAAACCGGTTGCCAAGCACCCAGATCATGATCACATGACCGCAGGGGTGCTGGGATGTCTGGAACTCCAAGGATCAGTTGTAACCACCATTCATTCAGTGCTGTCATAACTTTGAACGGTCACTGAACGAATGGCCGTAGGTCAAGGACACTCTATATTTGAAATATCTTCCCAAATCCATTTTTGTGAAGTCTTTACTTCAATGACTACTGAAACAAAGAGATACATCTGGGCCCATATTCTAGCTTTATTCCTTCTTCCATTTTAACTTCTCTCCTTCCATTCCTTTCTTTGTGTTGAAACATTATAAACTTCTAAAAATAAGAGCCTCTTTTTACTGAGTTAGTTTGCTATCATATTGCACTAAAAGCATACAATATGAATTTTAAATTACATTGGCCATTAGACCATTATATTTTCCATATAATATTGCACTCCTTGTCATCTCAGAATGCCTGCTGTTTAATATTATCCTTACTAAATTGTGCAAAAGCCAGTACTGACTGTACAACTTCAATTTATTTTGTGTGCTTTTATAGGATATAAATAATGATCAAAATTACAAAATTTATAACTGGAAGCCCAAGCATATTTACAGAGAAGAATTTGTTGCAGTGAGGCTACTATTTGCTTGTTCCTATACAATATTCCTTTGGGTACTATTTTTCAATGTTTAATATCAGCCTACTACATACATATCAACAATGAATAGGCAAAATATATACAAGGAACTAATTGGTTCAAGTATATTGTATTAAAAGGTTCTTTTGTCATTCAGAGCTATGATTAGGATCAACTAAACCATATACAATTTTCAGTTTTAAATCGAGTTTCATTATCAATTTTGCTAAAAATTCCATTGAGTGTAACTGAATTTTCAGTTAGATATGAAAGAATAATAAAAAACATTGAAGCCAACCACACTATTCATAAATATCTCTATAATGATGTCCAAAATGACTCACAATTTGACTGGATAGAATATACATTTAAAATGTTGTTTTTCGCCTATGATCAATAATTTTACTGTAATTTATTCAGTTCCACTGAAATATACATAAATGTTATTGTACAAATACTCCACGAAGACATTAAAAAATTAAAATACTTGAAACAAAACTGTAAGCAAATTTCATTAAGTTCCATGTTAAGTCAGTGCTCAACAGGTTATTTTGTGGAAACACTGTATTACTTTGGATTTTTTTAAACTTTATTATTTAAGAAAAAAAAATTGAATTGAACTTTTTCATTAAAATCAGCTGAGACAAAAAATTTAATAAAAATTCCAGTTTGATTAAAACCATCTTTGAAACATTTATAAGCTCAAATGCATGGCTATAATAACTTGAAAAACTGTGTATAGTTGCATGTACCTTAGTGCAATCGCTGGGCAGCTTTTATTTTACTCTTCCAAAGTACAAAGCATCCAGCTTATAGATGTCCCCACTGTTACCACTGTTGCAAACAGTACAGCAGCAGTTTAACTTCAAATTAAATCCAAATTCTTTTCATAATTAATGATTTCCTTTATCATAAATATTCACACTTGTTCATATAATTTTTCCTCTGTCACACAAAAATATTTAATACAAGGTGCATTTTCATGCATTATTATTAATTCTTTTTCTTAAAACCATTAATCAGTCTTATCACACTGCTATATAGAGCCTCTTTTCTCCAGAGGATTAAATGGCATGGAGTTTACAAAAAACAGCAACTAACAAATGAGGGAAATTAATAGCTTGCTATTATTATTTTTTAAATATATTAAACAAAAAATTATTTTATATAGGATTTTCATAATTTCTCAAATATTGTATTAAATAATCTGGGTCTATTTCAATGTTCAACCTGCCAAATAAGAAACCCAACTACAACTGAACATTGTATTACTAAGCAGCATTAATGTTAGAGACCTTTGTAAAAGTAGAACATTAAAATATGAAATCAAAGAAAGCACTGTGGCAAAGTCCTAAGAAAATTGCGTGCACGAAAACTATCTCCCACTCTTCTTGTGGGCTCTGTTTGAAAAGTCTTCATCCCATGTCATTCTTCTGTCAATGCTGCAGGAAGAACAATCACCAGAAATGACCAGCAGCCTTTTATATATATATATATGTGTGTGTATATATATGTATGTTTTTGCTAGTTTCAAGGCCACTCAGTGCAGTCTTCCCCTCTGTTAGATTGAAGAGTTGCTATCATGGAAAGGCTGTGCTGTGACTGCTTTGAGTGCAAGGCACAACAAGAAATGAAGAACAGTTCATTATCAGAAAATTGTGGTTTCATACTTGGTATTAATTCCTCTTTTAGCTTCTTGTCCTGGTTCTACAATCCATGGTAGATTGGTAAGAGTCTTTTGTTCAGTAGGATCTATCTGCTTTGAAACAAATAAACACAGCAATGCTTTATCTGTTTTAATAACAGAATATTAAAACAATGTTTAAAGTTTGTCAACATGGCACATTATTACATGGATGTACCATGTACTGCTTTCTATAGTGTGCATTACATTACAGTGTACTACTGATAATCCAGTAGGACACTGGTCATTTTCACTGTCCTCACAAAATTGGATTGCTGGAATGAAACAAGTTATACTAAATCTGGAATTGTAGTATAACCTTACACTGTGATATATTTTCAGTACCATATGGAACTCATATTTACAGCTTTAAAAAGAAGATCAGACTGCAAGATTTACATTCTCTTTTGTCTTTGAAATTACTCTATGTACATATATTCAATGTACATCCATTTAGTCAGTATCACAAAAAATCAGCAGCCAATCAGGGAGGCCAAGCATACACATCTCCAGCAGTTTGAAGGAGGTGCATGCACAGCATTAATAGCAAATAGTGTTCCTCATCTGGCTCGAAATGTATGCACAGGAGTGTAACATTTAATATGTTCAGATTATAAAGTAAACCGCAACAACCATAAAAGTATTAACTCACAAAAACTTAAAATTCAAGGTTGGCAAACTTTCCTATGGCTGAAAGCAGCACTTAATATTTGTTGGAGGGACCACATAACAAACATAATACCAAGATTTTTCATTTCTTCCTGGATTTTGAGACAAAAAGAGTGGGATTTGTTTTGTTTTAACTATAACTATTTTGACCTTACACTCCAGTTTTCATCTCATTTCACTGAAAGGAATAATGGAAAACTGCCATCCATTTTCAACAGTCATGGTCTGGAGGGGGGATATCTAGGCTGCTGAAAGGAGACAGAGGTTGCCTATCTCTCTGGTAAATCTGTGATGGAGATAGAATTTCGAACTCTTGCTTTCAATCACATGGACTTTTAAATATGTTGAATCAACATATAACAGCCCCCCCCCTTTTCTCCAGGATCTCCAGGTTTACCTAGGGTTCATCCTTCATGTTATTCCCACAACAAAGACCTGTAGATTTGGGGAGTAAGGCTTGAAAAACCACTGCATTCATATGTACAGTTTTAACCTTCACATGTTGAGATAACAATCTGATCAGAGCTCATGTATGTTCATTACTGAGTTCTCAGCTTTTCTTATTGTTACTGTTTCTTCTATATTTCTGATTTAACACTAGAGGCCTTTGAGTGTGACAGCTGACAGGAAGAACTCAATACTTCAGGATACTTGATACTGACAATAAAGGAGTAGATGGTAAAAAAACCCTAGAAAAAGGGCTGGGAGAAAATTAGGGAAGTTTTTTGCAACTGGCCAGTTTTATTTTTCATTTTTTGAAAACAAGATTACCCTCTTTTTCAAGTTATGCAAGTCCTTTCACTTGCTGAGGGCATGTAGCTCTTGGTCTACATCACTTTGCTATGAGGAGGGATAAGAGAACATGAAAAAAAAATGGCAGCAGCAGCAGTACTGCCAGCTATATCATCTCCTGCTTCCCCAGGCTTATTTATAAGTTGCTCTGATTTTCATTTTGTTTGGTTTATTTTTTATAACTGATATGTTGCAAAATGCGTGTGAGAGAGAGATACTAATGAATAGCTGGTTAGAATGGCAGTAATTTCTGGACAACTTGATCTTTATAGTAACTGTTTGAGAAATTAATTTTTAGTCTGGTCTTTTGTATGTTTTCCCCCCAAGGTTGATATGGGTACCGTTTTGTTTTGTTACTTACACAAATTTTGTTAATGGAGACTTTTATGTATTATATTTATATCCTGTCTCTCTTCTGTGAGCTCAAGCACGCCTCTTCATTTTACCCTCTCAGTCATAACCCTGAATAATATGGCTATGGAGGTGGAATTCAATCATATTTAGAGAGATGCAAGTACCAATCTACTGTATTAAAACTGTTACACACCCAGGCTGCAAGCTTACTGGAAAGTCAAAAGAACATTCTGGAAGAAAGCAACGATAGGACTGTTGCTAAGAAAACTGCATGGATGTGTCCATGTAGTCATCAGGAGTTGAGCTTGACTCAAGAGAAGTGCTTTTGCTTTTACCTTACTTTACTTACTGAATACTGAAACAAGCAACAGCAAATACATTGAGGCATAACAGTATATTGGATGTAATTATAGATCGTTTACTAAAGACTTTACAGTTGTACGGTCAGAATTACCTTCAAGAATGTTTTCAATATGAAACTTCTGAAACTGAAAAATTAACTTTGTTGTTAGTTAGCTACAATAAATGTACACATATCACTCAGCATCTTTGGAGTAAAGTTGACAAATGCAGCTCAGGCCAAGAGCATTTTTATTATAGGTTGATATCAAGTTTCTTTTGTATAGTTTATGCTTCTTACTCACCACGGATTTTCGAATGCTAACACGTGGTTTTGGGATTGGCTTGGTAGGCTTATTATCAAAGCTTTCAGGAAGTGTTGAAGAATGGCCTCCTTTTCGAGCCTGAAGTGCTAGTTGATAAGCTACTTCAAATGCCTGTCCCAGTGTGAGAATTATTTCATAGGCTAAATTCTGGAATAGCAACAAATAGCAGGATTAAGCTAATTAATATGAACACAACTTTAAAAGAAAATCCTAAATATAGGGCAGTTTTGTCTAATTTTGAAAAAGCTATATTAATTACTTTTAGTATGTCATTGTTGTCTTATCATTTTCTACTATTTACACATTATTAGAAAACTACTGTAAAGACAACATGCTTAATCTCCTTTCCCAACACACAATGAGTAGAACATTCAAATACAAACATTCATTCATTCATACATGTATGTGTGCAATCTGCAGGAAGATAATGGGTATAGGACACACTGAATACATGGAATTCTGCAATCAATACTGTATTTACCTGAAAGGAAGATGACCCTGAATTCAAAATGCACCCCCCATGAAGAATACATGGGAAAAAATTAGAAACAAAGATTCTGTGCAATGCCCAGCTCCCCCATCTTTTCAACACAGGATCGCCAGCTCTACCTGAAAGCAATCCTGGAGAATACTCTTGCCACCAATGCGAACATGTGTGTGTTCTGTGTCTGTGTGTCATACTCATATGGATATGCATGTGTGACTACACTTGCTGGAAGCTGCACTACAAAAATGGGTAAGGCCAGAACCAAAAAATCACCTTTAAAATAAACTATCCCATATATAAAATTAATTCTGTCATAGTCAGAAACTCGTAAATAATCACCACATTCTCCTTCCTTCCTTCAGCAGAAACTGTAAAGATGAAGGGAAAAGGGACAGAATGGAGGGGAAAGGAAAGTTGCACTGGGAAGGGAAGGAAAAAGGAAACAGAACAAAACTAGATGGAGAGAAATGAGGGGATGAGCTGAAGTGTAAACACAATTTCTCTCTCATTTCTTCCCAGTTCAGTTACTTCTTCCCAGTTACCTCTTCCTTTATTTTCAATAGCATCCTCTATTATCATTGAATGACAGATGATTCCCTCCCAATTATTTATTAATTAAAGAGGGAAGGGAAACTAACCTTCCTATTTGGTAAATACTGTTAGTATCACTTTAAGGACAGTACTGTGAGGTTACACAATCTATTTTACTTGGTCATTTCAACTGAAATCACCATGCTATATATTAATATAGGTCACAGCAAATAACATAAACATCAGAATCACAGTTATGATCACAGACAATAACAGAATGATGAAAGATTTAGTGTTATGCAAACTTGCAATCCTTCACACACATAGTAACTGCACCATAGCCTATTTCACCACATGTAGAAATTAATAGTGGTAAGCCTGTTCATAAATGCTCAAACTAGATTGTGCTGGCATCACACTGACCATGCAATGGGAGATCTGCTTTCTTGACACTTCCATTATTTATTTGTAAACCAGTAAGACTTCCAAATGAAACTGTTAAACACATTTTCTTAAATTGGATTAATTTTGCAACAGGTGACAGCATTTCTGGAATAGTTGTTTACTCTACCCAGTTATTAGCATCAAGGAATGAAGTAAACAGACTCCATAGATTAGTTACTAAAACTATATACTGAAATTTAGGTTTGCTTATTTGTTAAACTAACAACTTTCCTCCAGTGCGGGAAGGCGCATAAGTATCATCCCTGCCTCTACTTTGTCCCCACAATAAGATAGATTGGGCTGAAGAAAAGTGACCAGCCAAAGTCATCCACTAAATCTCCACAGCTGAGGGATTCTTGAATCTTAATTACCCAGACCTAGTGCTTGTTTTGCTATATTTGACATAGATTTTTTAGAAGAAACTATACAACAGCAAACTTGTCAATTGCCCCTGTAATATTTATTTTACTAGTGATTGTAACATTGTACATTGCTAAATCCCTTTCATGGATCACTGCCTTGTCATGGAGAAGGGGCTTGCGTAACTCAATGAAGCCATGAGCTATGTCGTGCAGGGCCACCCAAGACGGACAGATCATGGCGGAGAGTTCTGACAAAACATGGTCCACTGGAGAAGGAAATGGCAACCCACTCCAGTATCCTTGCCAAGAA